GAGTGTCCCCGTCCTGTGTGTTCAGCATGACATCCAGCCTCTGCTCCATACTTCCCCTTTTAGAGCAGTGACCGGCAGAGCTAGCTGGCCTTGCCGCGCTAGATACACGCAGGGGCAATCCCAAGTACCATTACTGAGCCAGACTGGGGAGTGCGGTCTTTCCCAGCCGCACGGTGCAGAGGCCCGAGTCCCAGGGTGGGTCTGCACCCCACGCCTCCATCATTCACTCCTTTGGCACTCTGTTTCTCCAGTGAGATGGTAACTCCTTTGGCCGCAGGGAATGATCTTTTGTCTCCCTCCTCCCGTGCCTAGCATGGTGCTCCTGAACATTGGTGTTTAGTAATCATTTGAGCAAAAACAAATGTATTATTCTGGAGCACAGTGTTTTTACTCATTAAGTGATGGCGCTGAGCCAGAAGTTCTTTCTAAGACAAGGATGGACTTGGGAGAAGGAGAGTACTGGGTGTGAGAGGCCAGTCCTGTAGGACTGCTCCTTCCTGCCACAAAATAGCTGCTAAAAAAAAGTAAAATTATTACATTTGGGGCAACACGGTTTTTACTATTTTATAGTTGAAGAAAGTGAGGTTCAACGAGGTCACACTGTTTATATATGAATTCCTGCTCCGGTGCTCTTTCCACTTTCTGACCCAGAGATCTGCCTCCTACCCAAGGGATAGGCCAGGCTCCCCCCAGTACAGCGTCCATTCTTGGATGCTCTGCGCTGCCAGCCCGAGCACCTGCTGTGGTTTCTGCAGCACCTGGGGAGCCCTGGCGGGGAGAGGGCAGGGAGCACGGTGAACACGGTCTCATTCCCTAAGAGGGAGGGGCGCAGGCATTTTATGGTTCGGCTGGTGCCTGGCACTTTGCTGGACACTGTAGTGCTACCCCCGCTTTTACCCTTGTAAAAAGAGGTTCCGAGGCAAAGTAACCACTCGTGGGCCAAAAGCCAGTGGGAGCCGCGAAGCAGCCGCCAGGGAAGCGGGCTTTGCCGGGGGTCAGGAGCCTCTGCTGGCGGGCGGTGCGCACGAACGCCAAAGCCCCGCGGTAGCGATGCCCACGTGGCCTCGGGAGCGCAAGCGCCCAGCCGGGGGTCCTGCCCAGCCCAGCGTCCTGTGGGGGCGGGGCCCGGGTGGCGGCGAGCGCGCCGGGGGCGGGCTCCTCGGGACAGGCTCCGCCCCCAGGGGAGAGGGTTTAAAAGGAGGGAAGGCGGCTCCCGGGGCTTCAGCCACTGCCAAGCGTGCCAGGGCAGAGGAGCGGCGGGGGTACAGCCATGCCCCTGCGAGCGGGGGGTTCTCGGCTGCTCGGCGGACTCCTGCTCTTCGCTCTGCTCGCTGCCGGCGCCGCGCCGCTCAGCTGGGATCCCCCAGAGCCCCGCAGCCGGGCCAGCAAGATCCGAGTGCACCCTCGGGGCAACCTCTGGGCCACCGGTAAGTCTTCGGGACCCGGACAAGCGCCCCTCACCCTGCTCTGATTCCATTTTTCTTGTCAGGCCGTTCCTCAGCCAGGGACACTAGTGTCCACGCTGGTGAGGACCCTGGAACTCGTCTAATTTAATAGATGGGAAACTTGAGACCCAGACAGTTCAGTGACTTGGCTAAGATCACTCAGCCAGTTAAAACAGAGCTGGGGCTGGATCCTAGATCTGCCTGCCAGCCGGAGCCCCTTGCCTTAGGCAGCAGTCTGCTGAACCTTATTCTGACTTCTGGTGTGTCTTCTCTTTGCACCTCCACCCTCCAGACACCTCTTCATTCCCCACTTTCCTCCTTGCCCTCTCCTGTCCCTCCTGCAAGCAGGTAGCACAACTGGCAGACTTTCTCCCTGGCCATGTGCCATCCTCTCTACCATCTCCACCTGTTCAGGAACAGCCAAAGTACAGGCTTTGCCACCCCACGGGGGCATTTGTGTCTCCTGGTGAGGAGGAGGAGGAAGACTGACCTCGGATCTTGCTGTCACGAGAACTGAAAGTTGAGAGAGATGGGGAGCTTTCCCACTGGGATAGGATCCTCGCTCCCCAACTTCCTTGTGCCTTGGTGCCTCCTTTCTAGGTCACTTCATGGGTAAGAAGAGCCTGGAAACCCCCAGCCCATTCCTCTTGGGGACAGCTCCCCACATCTCCCTGAGGGACCAGAGACTCCAGCTGAGTCATGATCTTCCCAGGATCCTCCTGCTAAAGAAAGTTCTGGGCATGAGCCTTAGCAGCCCAGCACCTCACCCCCAGGTGAGCCAAGCTCCTACCTCAGGCCCAGGAGAGGCCTAGCCAGGGCTGCTGCTGGTTCCAGCATTGGGCATCGGGTGTGACAGACCCCCAAGGTGTGATGGGCCCCAGAAAGCCAGGGATTCCAGGCTCTCCTTGTGATCCAGAGCCAAAGGGAGAAGACTTCAAAGAAACTGACCTTTCCAGCAAACCTCACAGAACAAGAAGTAGGAAAGAAATTTCCCCTCACCTAGTCCCCAGTCTGAAGTCACAGCCTAGGAGTAATTAGCGAGCTTCTTGCAGCAGGACGTTCCCCTCCCCCCAGACTCGCCCTACGCCAGCTCTCCACCTTTGGTGTGCTTCGTTTGTACTTGTGGCTACAGTTGGGACCCTGAGACCCAGAAAGGAGAAGAGTCAGCACCCAAGACAGAGTCCAGACCTTGTTCAACTTGACCAGTGCTCTTCCCAGTCCCTCATCCGCCTCAGTAACCCTCAGCACAGGGTTTCTCAACCTCAGCACTCCTGACATTCTGGGCTGGATAATTCTTTGTTGTGGGGGCTGCCCTGTGCTTTCGAGGAAGTTTAGTAGTATCCCTTGTCTCTACCCACTGGAGCATTCTCCCCCGACCCCATTTGTGACAACCACAAAAAAATGCCTCCAGACATTGCCAGAGCTCTCGTGAGGGGAAAGAGGTAGGAAACCAAATTACCCCTGGTTGTAGATCACTGAGTTAGGACATTCAAGATTCCTAAGCTAGAGCCAAGACAGCTTCAGTCTCTAGTCTGGTAGAAGGGCAGCTCCTCAATTCCCTGCTCCTGGTGCTGTCCGCAGCCCACACCACCTTCCCTCGTACTTTGTTACTGTGCCCAGAAGGCCGTGTAGTGTGGTAGAATGGGGCTTCTGGTGACAACGAGCTAAGCTCGTAACCTAGCTATTTAGTAGGGACCTCAAAGACCTCATCTTCCTCATTTATAAAATGGGGATGATGAGGATAGTGCCCATCTTCTATTAAATGAGACCATTTGTGTCAAGTGCTCAGCGTGGTGCCTGGCACGTAGAAAGCACTTAGTAAGCACCTGTCACAGACTCACCTTCATATCCCCCACTGTGCCTAGCATACAGTGCATACATTTTGAAAGAAGGGAGGGGCATTTCCTAGAGAAGGCCCAACTCCACCCCAGTCAACCTCCTGGGCTCTCCTCCTTCATAGAACCACGAGCCCCTGGGGACCTCAGAAGTGAGGGCCGGAAGCTTGGGCTGGCTTAGTCTAAAGGGAGATGATGTCACCTCGGGGGCTAGCGATGTCACCAACTAGCGAACCTCCGAGGAAGCAGTACCTGGGATTGGGGAATGGGGCTTCAGAAGTGGGTTCTGGGGCAGAGCTGGGGCCAGGGAGAGAAAACACGGATGCTGGCCCAGGGCCAGGCACATAACAGGGACTTCACTTCCATGATCTCCTTGTCTCTCATGACCACTTTGAGAAAACCACTGCCCGACCCTTCCCAGGTCCTTCTTCAGGGAGAAAGGTGCCAGGGGTCCTGCCTGAGCTAAGAGCCTGCCCCTGCCTACCTCTGTGGATGCCTAGCACTTAGGAATGGCAGGACGCCCCTGCCATGTACCCCCTCTGCCCAGATCAATTCTGTGTGTTCCCATTCAGTACAGGAGGCTGCTGGCCCAGATGCTGCAGAAGGGGTGTCCCTAATGAGGAAGAGACGCCGACGTGACTTAGACTGTGCACACCCAGGGAAGGTGCTGAGCGGGACCCTGGTGGCAGCCCCATCTGGATGTAAAACCTGGGCTCAAATGTCTGTTACTCCGTTACTGTGATTTCTGGTTGTGTCGCCGGGAATACTGCCCATGAGACACAAATTATGTCCCTGCTGTATTTCTTGCTTCCGTGTTGAAGTCGTGAATAAAACCCTGCTCTTTACATAGACTGTCTGGGCCTCTCCTTCCAGCCGCGTTTGAGGGTGCGGGAGGGAAAGGGGGCTGCCGGAGGGCATGTTCAATGAGATAGAGCTGGCTTCTAAAAGTCTAGAGAACCTCAGGACACCGGCCTACTTGGGAATCCTATTCAGTTGCTCATTCAGCAAGCAGGTACTCAGAGCCTGCTGGATATGCCTGGGTTCTTACTCTCACCTCTGCCACCTACTGACACAGGCAAGTCTCTCCTGTTTCCTCGCCTGGACGAGGGAGCTGCCCTCCACTACAAGATGAGGTTTTGCTTACCCCATTCCATTTCATCCCTATGCCAAGCTTTGAGGGGAGTGCCCAGGGCATACAAGGGAGTGAGCCGGGCTAGGATCCAGACCTCGCTGTCTGCTTACTCTCTTCTCTGGCCTTGGGTAGGGCTGCCAGATTTAGCAAGTAAAAATACAGGACACTCAGTTAAATTCTCATTTCACATAAACCAATGAATAGGTTTTTCGTCTGAGATGTCCTAAGCATTGCATGGACATACCCGAAAAAATTATTCGTTAGTTTACCTAAAATTCGAATTTAACCAAGCATGCTGTATTTTATCTGGGCTTGACCCTCTGATCTGCAAATATTCGGTGATGAAACGGGCGGGTATTTGGCCCCCGAGGCCCCGCCCGGAACTGACATCCTGGGAACCTCTGATTTTACGTCATTTTCCCCGGAGCTTTTGCCAGGAGAATCCCGGACCCAGCCCGGCGAGGGCACTGTGCGCTGGTGAAGGCGCTGTTTCCTCTCGGCCCCGCCCCCTGGAGTGGGACCACGCCTCCCAGCCAGAGCCGGCCGCGCCCACTCCTCGCGAGAGGTCCGCGCCTGCCGAGGAAGGTTCCCAGAGGCGGAAGTGGGGCGGTGGTAGTGGGGTACCGGAAGCGGCGTTGCCATGGAGTCCGCGGAGGACTGGCTGGTGGAATCCTTGCGCTTGTAAATCTTTTGGGCCTGGGACGTGGGCTCTGGGCCTGGAGCCGGCGGGGTGGGCGGACCGGCGCGGGGTGGAGAGCGCAGGGAACCCCGGTGTGGGCTGGGCCGGCCTGGTCGTGGGGTGGGGCCCGGCATCTGGGAAGAGGCACCTCCCCGTGTGCGTGGCCTGTGTGTGGTGCCAGGGAGAGCGGTGGTCCTGGAAGATGATAATCTCCTAGGTGACCCGTTACTTTGCGCCAGCCTGAGTGAGACCTTGAACAAAAGGTCTCAGTGATCCCTCACATCAGCCTTGGGAAGCCTGGGATCTCTGGGAGTTGCGTTTTACAGATGAGGACCGAGGCTCAGGGATAACTGTGACCGGCCTGGCCCCAGCCACACGAGGGCTATGATGTGCAACAAGACCTGCTCCCGGGTCTGCTTTGCGCCAGAGCCTGAGCCCCCACCCACCGAACCGTGCTGCTGTCTCAGAGTTTTAACAGCTGTAGTGCTATGCACCGTGTGACGTTGTGTCTTTATCATGCAGGTACCAAGATTTCCATGCATTCGACCTTTCAGGAGCCACTCGAGTCCTCGAATGGATTGGTGACAAAGGTGACCTGCCCTGCCTGGCTCTGAAGGAGATGGACTCTTACTCCTCAGGCTGGACCTCTTAATGCTAGCTCAGCTGGAAGGGACCCAACCCACACTTCTGGGAGTCTGAGGCCTCCTCTTGGTCTTGTAGCAATTTCCGCCCTGTGGGCACTTAACATTCCCTTAGTACAATCTAGATCCCTTCCATTCCCCAATACAAGGCTGCATACCAGTAGTGGAGGAATTTATCTTTGCTTTGGAGGTTTTGGTGAAATTTCTGGACACAGCTACAGTCCAGGATCTTTCTAGCAGTTTGGCACAGCTACTTCTGCTTCTTTTTCCAGGAGTCTTCGTTGCTGGCTATGAAAGCCTGAAAAAAAATGAGATTCTTCATCTCATACTACCTCTCAGACTTTCTGTAAAAGAAAACCAGGTAACTTGAAATATGAACACTGAATATATGCATCTACTTTTTATTCATTTATTAAACCTTTATAGAGAGTTTCTCCACCTACTAGGTATCGTCCTGGATACTAGACAGAGAGAGGGACAAGCCCTGGTCCTGCCTGCTTGTGTCACAGGGAGGCAGGGGTGCACAGAGATAAATGCTACAGGATGTCTGAGGTTTACAGAGGGATCCTAGAAGAAGGGGTCAGTTTTACTTTATCAAAAATAGATTTAGGGAGTCATTGGCGTGTAGAGGGTGGCTGAAACCCTTAGAATGGTTAACGTCACCTAGGATGACAGTGTCATGTATAAGGAGTAAAAGAAGACGATGTGTTAAGAGCAAACCTCAGGAATGGTTAGAGGAAGAGGAATCCACAACAAGTACTAAGAAGGAAGAGTCTTTGAAGTAGGAGTCTCAGAAAAGGGCAGTGTTTCAGAAGCCAAGAGAAGGGAATGTGTGAAGAAAAAAAGAGTGAGTAGCTGCGTGAGGTTGCTGTAAAATCACTCACACTCATCTGAGGACAGCCTGGCCTCTGTGGCCCTGGGGGGAATTTCCTGCCTAGTGCACTTGACCTTCCCCAGTCCCCACCACTGAGGCTTGAGCCAGGAGCTCACTCACCCAGACTGAGCCTTGAGGAGACACCTTATTTACCTCCTACCTCTCACCGCTGGCTTTTCCTCTTTTTTCTTGTGGCTACCTCCTTTCCTTCTGCTTCCAGTCCCTCCCGTGGAAAGAGTGGAGTCTAGTGGCTGAGAGCATGAACTTTGGTTAGACAGACTTGGGTTCAGATCCACAACATAATCCCTGTGTGACCTTAGAAAAGTTGCTGAAATTTCCTGTGCTTTTGTCATTTTAGAATAGGGGTCGTTACAGTACGTACAGGTCAGGGCCATTAAAAGAATTCAATGTGATAAAGTAGATCAAGCCCTGAACGCAGAGCCTGATGCAGTGAACACTGGATGACTGGTGGCTGCTACATTTTTATTGCTAGAAGAACCCACCTGACTTTCCATGGGAGCTGGGGAGGAAAGGGGATAGGGTAGTTGACTGATACATTCCAGCTGTCTTGGATGAAGCTATGAAGCTTGGGTGACTCCTCTAAGGAGGCCTGGAGTATGACACTTGTGCTGTAGTGAAAGGGCCCAGGGAAAGGTTGGGAGAAGGGTTTTGGGTGTGCAGGAAGCCAGGAAGGCTGTGTAGGCAGCTGAGACCAACATTTACCGGTGGCAGCACACCGAGGCCGGGCGGGGAGAAGCATCTGTTGCCAGCGAGGGGCTTCGTGCCAGCGTCTGACCCGGAGCTCATCGGAGGTGTGTCTCTGGAAAGCAGGCTCTCTGATGCTCCACCCCTTTGTATTTTAGGGCTTATGCCCAGAAAGAGATTTCAAGGTGTGCCACGGAGGGTTTTCAGACGCGTCTGTCTTTGAGCTGAAGCACGTGCCAGACACCAGGTATGGTCAGCTCTGTGACCCTGACCTTCCATTCAGGGTGGAGTGGCTGGAGCTGTCAGGGGTGTCCTGCCTCTTTAGCACCGCCTTGACCCTTATCCACTCAGCACGCAGGCACGTGTGCGTGCGTGCGCACACACACACGCGGCTTTGGAATAAAAAAAAAAACAAACAAACATTGGTAGCTTGATGGTCCCTCCCAGACCACAGACCTTTGAACTAATGTAACCCACAGGTCGCTGGAGTTGTCCCAAGGAATACAGAGTAGAAGGATGCCCTTAGTTTCTCATAGAAATGGTGGTGGGGAGTTGGGACTAATCGTCCCAGCTGGTGGAGATGGAGAGTCTCCAGGTTAGGGTTGTGTATTCAGGCTCCATGCTCATGCCCTCTCGGATACGTCGTGCTCTAGGGATGCCTGGGCTCAGTCCCACGACCCTCCATGAGCTCTGGGTCTGTCCCTCAAGCGCCGGAAGCTGCTACTTGTCTGTGAAATGAGGGTGACTGGTCTTGATGATCTCTCCGTGCAATAAGCTTTTCTGGTATGGGGAGTGTAGGGACCCCAAGCTGAGCAGGCCGGGAAGGGAAAAGTCCGGCGGGTATGTGAGTGAGCTCCCCACTCGCTAGACTAATCCTTCTGTCTGTTATGAATAGGTTGCTGGTCACCACTGGTCTACCTGGTTCTTACCTGCACGTGTGGCAGGTCGCAGAGGACAGTGGTGAGTGAATTTGACTTGGTGGGGCTGGGTTGTGGGAAAGCCTGATACCCATACACTCCAGCTCCTAATCTAGGCCAGTTAAGAAGGAGTCGCAGAGCCAGGTGGGAATTAAAAAGCAGTATCTAATTTAACGTGGGCAAAGATGAGTGGGCAAAGCTCCCCAATGGAGCTTCCTGTAACTTGCTTCAGGAGTTCAGTTCCCCTCCCTAGTCGTAGGCAGAGCACCTGCCGTACTCCGTGCCTCTCCCCAGGCCAGGGCAGAGGCGAGGGCAGAGCTGGGGCCACTCAGGTGAGCTCACCTCTGGGAGGAGGAGGAGGTGGCGGTGGCAAGGAGATCACAGGGATGGAAAATAATGAGGGAGCAAGAGGCACAGCCTACCAGTCTCCCTCTTCGTGAAGTCACTCTACTCCCTAATGGGAACAGGAAAAGGAGCCGGAAGTGTTAATCCTGTTCCCTTTGGGAGGGAAGCGAGCTCATTCATGCGGAATAGCCTTCCCTCCAGCAGTGGGTGTGCAGGTTCCCCTGCCAGGCAGGCACCAAGAGCTGGCAGCCCTGATCCAGCCCCTTCCATCCCTCCTCCAGCTAGAGCATTGTTGGCCAGAACAGAATTGTGCCTCGGAGGCACAGGCCACTGTTCTTGGAACTGCCTCTTTGCTTGTGTGATGCTCCGCCCCTGGTCCCTGTGCGGGCTCCCTTGGCTACTTCCCAGAGCCCGGCTGGTAGCTCCTAGCTTCTCCCCAGGATGTGCTGGTCCAGAAAGGTGGTTCTTGTGCTTTTGCAAGATCACAGACTCAGGGCTTTCCTTTGTTGTGTCCTCTTTGTCACTTGTCTAATGCTATAGCGTCCACTTTGTATCATTGACTTGCAGTTATGATTGTTTATTTTCTTAAATTTTATTGAAATTCACACATTTTAAGTGTACAATTCAGTGATTTCTAGTACATTTAACTAATTGCGCAACTATCACTCTAAGTCCATTTTAGAACATTTTCATGACCCGAGTGAGATCTGTTTTGCCACTTCCTGTTACTCCCCATTCCCACACCCTGCCCCACTCATCTACTTTCTGCCTCTGTAATAGATTTGCCTCTTCTGAACATTTCCTATCATACGATGTGTGGTCTCTTGTATGTGGCTTCTTTCACTCAGTGTTACATTTTGAGGTCCGTCCTGTCGTACCACGGGAGGGCATCTGGTTCCCCAGGCACAGTCAGGACGAAAGGCAGGGACCCAGCATATAGCACTAGTTCCTTTTTTTGGCTGAGTAATATTCCACTGCGTGTGTGTGCTGCACTTGCCTCTCTGTCCACCAGCTGTTGGCTGTTACCATGTATGAGTCTCAGTGTGGACATGTTTTCATTTCCCTTGGACAGACACTTAGGAGTGAAATCGCTGGATAATGTGGTAAATTTATGTTTGATTTTTTTTTTTTAAAGATTTTTATTTATTTGACAGATCACAAGTAGGCAGAGAGGCAGGCAGAGAGAGAGAGGAGGAAGCAGGCTTCCCACTGAGCAGAAAGCCCGATGTGGGGCTCGATCCCAGGGACCCTGGGATCATGACCTGAGCCGAAGGCAGAGGCTTTAACCCACTGAGCCACCAAGGTGCCCCTATGTTTGATTTTTTAAAAGACATTTCCAAACTGTTTTCCAGAATGGCTTCATTATTTACATTCCCACCAACAGTGTATGAGATATTCTGTTTGCCCATGTCCTCATCAACATTTGTTAAAGCATCCTAGTGACAGTGAAATTTTTTTCTCTTTGTGCCTTTCATGTTCATCTTTTTAATGACTAATAATATTGAGCATCTTTCCCTGTGCTCATTAGCTATTCATAGGTCTTCTTCGGGGAAATGCCTACTCATATCTTCATGAGAGAGTTTTGTTATTTTTTCCCACACCCTCACAGGCTGAAGACAGTATGCCGTCCTGGGCCCTTTGATGTTCTGGATTCACTGTACATTTAATAGATACTTGCTCAGATTAATCAATAATCTGCATAAGGTAACAGTAATATTAATAAGCATACTGTCCTCCAGGCACTGTACCAAGGACTTTCCGTGACTGATCTCATTAAATTCTTAGGAGTCTGAGAACAGACCATCCCAGAGAGGATGTTGTTGAAAGACATGAAAACAGTAGCCTGACCTGGCCGCGGGTCTGGTCTGACGTTAGGGTCTGCTCGGAACCACATCTGGTGGTAACTATACTTAGGAATAATCATTGATCTCAGTGCAGGTGTAGGGGCTCTGAAGAAAACGTGGTAGGGTATTTACTGAGCCGCAGCTGGGTCAGTGCCTCCATTTCGCTTGGAGCTGGTCCCTGGAGGGAGATCTGTCAATGATAGGGAGCATTTATGGGCTGGCTGCTCGGTAGAGCATGGGACGCTTGATCTGGGGGACGTGAGTTTGAGCCCCACATTGGGTGTGGAGCCTACTTTAAAAAAAGAAAAAAATGTTCTTACTATGATTTGTAGCAGTAGTTAACATCTCATTCATTCAAAGATACTCACTGTGCACTTCTGATGTGGCAGGCAATGGGGAAGGTTCTGGGGATTACAACAGCAAGCAGAAACCTAGATGCTCCTTTTTTCTTGGTGCTCATATTTGAGCACATATTTTGCCCATTTTTTGATTGACTTTTTCATCTTTAAGAGTCCTCCATACATTCTAGATTTGTCCTATACGTGTTTTTTAAATTTTATTTTATTTAAATTCAATTAATTAACACATAACATATTACTAGTTTCAGAGGTAGAGTTTGGTGATTCATCATTTGCATGTAACACCAGTGCGCGTTACATCATGTGCCCTCCTCAGTGCCCCCAGTTACCCCTTCCCCCCACCCAGCTCCCCTCCAGCAACCCTCAGTATGTTTCCTAAAGTCAAGAGTCAAGTTTATCTCTCTCTCTGATTTCATCTTGTTTTATTTTTCCCTCCCTTCCCCTATGATCCTCTATTTTGTTTCTTAAATTCCACATATGAGTGAAATCATCTGATAATTGTCTTTCTGTGGTTGACTTATTTCACTTAGCATAATACCCTCTAGTTCTATCCATGTCATGGGAAATGTTAAGATTTCATTTTTCTGATGGCTGCATAATAGTCTATGGTATATATATACACACCACATCTTTATCCATTCATCTGTCCATGGACATCTGGGCTCTTTCCATAGTTTGGCTGTTGTGGACATTGCTGCTATGAACATTGGGGTGCAGGTGCCCCTTCGGATCACTACATTAGTATCTTTGGGATAAATACCCAGTAGTGCGATTGCTGGGTCATAGAGCAGCTCTGTTTTTAATCCTATATATGTTTTGCTAATATTTTCACCCAGTCTGTTACTTGTCTTTTCGTTTTCTTAATAGTGTCTTCTGAAGCATAAAAGTTCTACATTTTGGTGAGGTCTGATTTGTCAGTGTTTTCTCTTAAGGACTGTACTCTTGGTGTCATATTTAAGAAATCTTTACCTAACCCACAGATTTTTTTCCTCTATGCATTGTTTTTTGTTTTTTTTTTAAGATTTTATTTATTTATTTGACAGACAGAGATCACAAGTAGGCAGAGAGGCAGGCAGAGAGAGAGGAGGTAGCCGGCTCCCTGCTGAGCAGAGATCCCGATGCGGGGCTCGATCCCAGGACCCTGGGATCATGACCTGAGCTGAAGACAGAGGCTTCAACCCACTGAGCCACCCAGGCGCCCCTCCTCTATGCATTGTTTTATTTTCCCCCCAGTTTTATTGTTTTCGTGCCAACATTTAAGCCTGTGCTCTCTTTAGAGTTCCCCTTTGTGTACAGTGTGAAGTCACCTTTTTGCCTATAAATATCCAATTGTCTCAGCGCCATTTGTCAAATAGCCTTATCTTTCTCCATTGATTTGCCTTGCTGCTTTTGTTGAAAGATGGTTGCTTAACCATAAATATAAGAATTTATTTCTGGACTCTCAGTTCTGTTCCATTGATCTTCATGTCTCTCCTTAGGCCAGTAACTTGTAGTTTTTTATCTTGACCTAAAAATAGGCTGTATGCGACAGTAGTTGTTTAAAGATGAGAGGGAGGGGAGTCTCACTAGCCATGTGGAGGCACCCGGAGCTGCCTTCTGTGCTGCCTTTTGTCCTGATGGTGCCTGGGGTGCCAGGTGCTGCACAGAACCTCTAGCCCTAGGCTCAGGGGAGCTAATGGCCCAGTGGGGCTAGCTTTGACAGTCCTATGGGAGTAGCAAATCAGATCAAGAGTTCTCTTCCCCAAAAAAAAAAAAAAAGAGTTCTCTTTCCTGGGGCACCTGGGTGGCTCAGTGGGTTAAGCCTCTGCCTTTAGCTTGGGTCATGATCTCAGGGTCCTGGGATCGAGCCCCATATCAGGCTCTCTGCTCAGCAGGGAGCCTGCTTCCCCCTGCCTCTCTGCCTACTTGTGATCTGTGTGTGTGTGTGTGTGTGTCAAATAAATAAATAAAAAATCTTAAAAAAAAAAAAAGTTCTCTTTCCCTCGATACTAGTGCAGAATAGTCCAGAGCCCAGGAGGGTCGGCCAGCTGTTTTTCTAGAAGCCAGAATTTTCCAAAGTCCAGGTGCTGACCCACAGCTTTGATGTCTCAAAAACCCGATTTTGTTAGCACATCCTAAACAAATGTGTTTATAGAGGCAGACACACTCAACAGACTCACTCATCAGACTCCTATAGAAACCGGAATGCAGTTTTATGAGTTCATAAATGAAAAAATAAGTATCCCTGAAATTAGACTATTCTAGATCTTTAATTCTTTGCCTATAGAAGACGTGACCTCACCAAAGACTGTGTGATAAACAAAACCATAACAAGAGGAATCAGCTCAGAGGTTTCCAAATTGTGTTTTCACACGCGGTCTTCAGCACAAAGTATAAAGCTTGTGAAGTCAGTGCTGCCCAGGCCTTGTACCATCCAGGCCCCTGGAGCAGCGTCTGAGGCCTTTCTCTCCTTTTCTCTCCTCACTGGGGCTGTGGAAGCCTTTGAGTTAGACGAATACATATCTGAAGATCTCAGCTGAATGTCGCCTGCTGTAGCCTCTTTGAAGTTCAATGCTTAGTCTGGTGTGGCTCCCTCCACCCTGGACAGGCCCCAGTGTTTTCTTTGCCTCCGTGGCTGGACAGCTCCCTCTCTCAAGGACAACACTGTCCCTTAGCTGTGTTAAGGCGATTGCTCACTCGTGCAGGTGTGGGCGCTGTTCCGGTTCTGTAGGGAGTGTGCCTACCTCTGACCTGTTCTGTGTTGGTGAATACTCAGACACAACCTTCTTTCATGGCCAAGTTCTTAGAGGTGCCTCACTGTGTCTTTTGCTTTGATTTCCTAGTCGTTTCCATTTTCCATTTGAGGCTGGTTTGCTAAATGCGGTATGGATTCCCTGGAGGAGGGCATTTTACCACAGGCTAGAGGGAGGAGGAGGAGGAGACCTTCAGGAGGCTCTGAAAGTTTCCACTGCGTCTTTGAAATAGGTCTTTGAAGGCTTTCCCTTGGCTGCCTCCTTTCCACCGTCAGAGGATGGATCATATCGTATCTGAGTCCCGTGCCCCGGCTCAGAGCAGTAGGTCTCATGGAGTCTGTTCCAGGCTCCTTAGAGTGTGTGGAAAGGGAAGAGGGAGCTGCGCACGTGCCGCCCAGGAGGGGGCACGCTGTGCCAAGGCGGGTTTGACTCACAGCCTCACCAGCACTCCCCAGTCTCGGATCCCGAGCTCTGCTGTCCTGTCTGCTTCAAACCTCCACAGCCTGTGTGGAAGGAGCGGCTGAGTTCAGCAAGTCCGGATCAAGGGCACTGAGAGTCTGTGGGTCTTGGGAGGAACACCCAAGGGCCTTCTGCATTCTAGCCCAGCCCAGACACGTGCTCCGTGCCCTCCTTGGATGGGAACCATTTCAGGGGACTCGCTACCTTGTGCCTGCTTGCCAAGCTGTGCTAGTATTCCTTCTCGTCTCTTCCTTCCTCATTCTTTCACCTGTGCTTTAGAACCAGAAAAATAGCTAGGTGTCCGTTTTCTTCAGAGAAGTGGTGACCAAATAATGAGCCTCTCTTGGAGCCAGAAAATACAAAATGGAAATATGCATCTCCCGAAAGTAGTTTGTGCAGCAAATTTCCGTTCCGAGCTCTGCTCTAAACGGCTGTCACCAAGAGAAGCCTCCAGAGCACGGGGCGAGAACCAAGCAGGCTGAGCAGACACGTGTCCTTGCTCCTGCCCGATGCAACAGTGCCACGGAACCCCCCCGCCCAGTCTCCATTTGGAGACATCGGCCTCGTGACCTTCTCCTGCTTGGCGTCTGCAGGTCGCTTGAGGCCATGGAACATGTGTTTGAAGAAATACTATTAGTTTGTGAACTCTGTACCTATTATTTTCACTTAAGGTGTCAGTGACATCCTCAGTGCATTCTTGGCTTTTTTCTATCTTTATGTGTTCTTTGTAAAACTATAAAAAGCCAGACTGCTCTTGGGGTTTTGAGATGGCCGCTGTGACTCATTAGCTCCTGTGTGTCAAACTGTTTATAAGACAAATTATGAAGGAATTAAAGTGCTACTGACAGTTTCAGTTTTAGAAATGTGAACGTAATCCAGGGCATTTATGTCTCACGTCCTCTCTTGCCGGCTGTCAGCCCCCTTTCGTCCTTGACTTAAACGTACGAGGGAAGAGGCTGCCAGCTGGCCTCCACCTTGTAATATTGCAGCCTTCATCGGCACCCCAGATTTTAACCTCTTGTGCTTTCCCCCAGATGTCATTCAAGCTGTCAGCACCATTGCTGTGCCGGACAAGGAGGGCGGTCTCTGGCCCAGGGTGGCCATCTTCTCTTCGATGGCACCTGGAGTCCTCCACGGGGTGAGGCTCCGCAGTCTGAAGGTCGTGGACTTGGAATCCCAGAAGACCACATACACCTCAGGTGCCACTTCTGTTCACTCCTTGCCGGCATCTCCTGCTCACTCCCATCCTCCTCAGCCCCATGAAGAACTGAGTTCAGCCACCTGGCCAGCTGCTGGGGGAACCAGCTGGACGCAAGGCAGGCCCTGGCCTCAAGGGGCTGCGGTTCTGGGGCTGGAGGAGGCAGTCCCAGGGACCAGTGCCATCCCAGCTGTGTGGAGCGTGGCGAGGTGCCGGGGGGTGGTGGGAAGCTTCCAGAGGAAGGGGCGTGTGACCGGCCAGATTCCTGTGATTCTAGCAGCTTTTCTCTGTCACGCTCTGTCTTCCAGGAGTCAGTGACAGTGAGGAGCTAAGCAGCCTCCAGGTCCTGGCTGCAGACACCTTTGCCTTCTGCTGCGCCTCAGGCCGCCTGGGGCTTGTTGACATCCGCCAGAAGTGGGCGCCGTCAGAGACCATCAGCCCCAGGGCTGGGGCTGCTGGAGGGAGGTGGTGTGCTGAAGTTGGGGGCCGGGGCCCTGGGCCGAGCATTGCCAGCCTTGGCTCAAACGGGCAGCTCTGTCTCCTTGATCCCCGGGATCTCAGCCATCCTGTGAGCTCCGTCCAGTGCTCGGTGTCTGCACCCAGCCCTGACCCAGAGCTGCTGCGAGTGACTTGGGCTCCAGGCCTGGACAACTGCTTGGCCATTTCAGGTACCGCTGAGCAGTATTTGGTGTCTGTCACTTACCTCCCAGGGGACCATATGGTGCTCGGGAAGGAGACTGCAGCCCCATATAAACTTGGCCCCAGAAGTGACAGTCGCTCCCAGAGAAGCTCCAGACAAATAGTCCAGGTTCTTCCAGGGCAGGCCCTTCCCCGTTCTAGCTACTCAACTTTCACATGGGTAGCAGACCTTTCCTACCTGAGCAGGAATTCGGTGCTGAGGTTGGTCAAGAGGCCTGCAGACAGTGAGGCACTAGGACAGTCATGGGGCTGGACCAGCAAGAGGTGAGAGGATCACAGAAGTGCTTCTTGGACTGCTTGCTTCTCGAATTCCAGCAAGCTGCTAGGTCAGCAGGCTCCTGGGTCTGGCCTGGCAGTTTCTAGCTAAATGAGGATGTCTAATAATGAGGGTATCTAAGAGTCCATGGGAAGGACCCATGGAAGGGGAGAGGTTGAAAGAAGAGTCGAGAGAGCAAGAAAAGATCATTGATAATGGCAGGATCCAAAAAGGGCAGAAGGGAAGAACCAGACTCGGTGGAGGAACTGTCTCTTTGGTAGCAAGAAGACAGCAGGATGGGGTGTGCGTGGGTATAGCTAGGTCATGGGGGGACATGTGGGCGCTCCTCTGTAAAGGCTTCTGTTTCTGCCATCAAGCCGGAGGCAAGGCCATCTGCCCAGAGGGATCTGGATGCAGAGGGATTAGGCTTTGAAGCAAGTGGAGAAGATTTGAAAGAGTCTCTTCAGCCTCAGTTTCCTGAGGAGAATAATAGTACCTGTTTCATACAGTGGTGAGGATCAAAAGAACACATGTCCAGGCCTTGGGCCTGACACTTCACAGATGAACAAAAGAAGTATACTGTCCCCACCCTAGCGAGTCATCGGCTGCTGACATCAGGGGCATAGCTTACGCCCCCTTCAGCTGGCCTTATGTATCTTTTTCTTATTTTAAGTAGTTGCCACCCAACGTGGGGCTCAAATGCATGACCTCAAGATCAAGAGTCAGATGCTCTACTGACTGAGCTAGCTGGGCATCCCCTGGCCTTAAGCATCTTGTTACTATTTGATTTCTCATCCTATAGCCTGTTTTGGTGCCAGAAAGCAAACTCTTAAAAATTAGGGATGCCTGCCTGGCTCAGTCAGAGTGTGGACTCTTGATCTCAGGGTCATGAGTTCAAGCCCCATATTGGGCAGAGAGATAACTTAAATAATAAACAATAAATATTACTTTTCAGGGCTTCCTGGGTGGCTCAGTCTTAAGCATCTGCCTTTAGCTCAGGTCATGATCCTAAGGTCCTGGTATTGAGCCCCGCTTTAGGCTCCCTGCTCAGCAGGAAGCCTGCTTCTCCCTCTCCCATCCCCCTGCTTGTGCTCCCTCTCTTATTGTGTCTCTCTCTGTCAGATAAATGAACAAAATCTTTTTTAAAAAATTACTTTTCAGTGTCAGTCCTCTCTTTTCTCGTTCTTCCTTAGGTTTTGATGGGACAGTCCAGGTCTATGATGCCACATCTTGGGATGGAGCAGGAAGCCAAGTAGAACCTCTCTTCACTCACAGAGGTCACATCTTCCTGGAGGACAATCAGACAGACACTGCTCCACTGGTCACTACCCACACGTGGCACCCCCACAAGCCACGGACTCTGTTATCAGCAGCGAGCGACGCCTCCCTGCACGTGTGGGACTGGGTGGACCTCCGCGCGGCCCACTGACTCCAACGTCTTCCTACCCAGGCCTGGAAGAAGAGGAGCTGCTGTAGAGCCAAGGTACTGACTTAGGTCGCTGTTACCAGCCAAGTGGCCTTGGGCAAGTCAGCCAGCTTCTCCTACCCTCAGGTTCTTTATTGGTAAAATAAGAATAGTAAGAGCTACCTCTTCTCTGGCTTGTTGGGAAAATTAGAAGTGATGGGTTAAAACTCAGGATGCCTAGCACAATAAATATTTGGTAGCTCCTGTTAGATCCGGGAGCCCCATTTCCCCCCAAGTGTAGAATGACAGTGTTTATCCCTGTCTGTATTCACAATATCAGAGTGAAGATTGAAAAAAAACAACAAATGTTATAAACATGTTTTGTGAATTTTTTTACAGAACTCAAAATGTACAAGGGCCAATAAATATGAAAAAAGAAGTCAACTCCAGTAGGAAAGAAGGAAATAACAATTAAAACAAGATGACGTGCTTTTTTACCTACCAAGTTGCCAAATGTGTCAAATAGTGCTTTGGACAGCTGATGGAGGGGCCCTGATGACCCAGCTCAGGGGGAACGAAGCAGCAGCGTGGTTCCTGCTCCCAGCGGTACACAGCAGCCATGTTCAGTCGAACCTGAATTTGTATGTCCAGTCTCCTGTTAAATAGCAGTTAAAATTTTCTCGTCTTTCGCTGTTATAGTGTGAACAATGTTTGTACCCATGGACAAAAGCCTATAGGATAAATTTCTAAAGTGAAAATTGCTGAGGCAGAGGATGTGTGCATTTTTAGGTTCTGTAAATCCTGCTTGCGTGCCCTCCCTGGGGACTGTGCGGTTTGTGAAGGCAGCAGTGATGGGTGTCTTTCTCTGCCCTCCCCAGCCAAGTGGCCCTAGTGGCTGCCTTTGCCGGTCTGATCAATGAAAAATCTTTACTTGTAGTTTTCGTCTGTACGTCTTGGATGTATGAAATTGAGACTCCTTGTGTAAACATTTAGAGGCAAAGATATCTAAAGATGAGAACAGCTGGGATGGGGGTATAGGCATTCTCACCAGTACGCCTTGTGGCAGAGAGCGGACCGCCCCCACTCTTCAGGTAGTTTGCCCTGGGACAAACCTGGCCCCAGGTGGTGCTTTCCCATGCCTGCCCCCAGCCTCCCAGGGGAATAGACCCAAGGGGCATTTCTTTTTGGTAGCAAATATTAAAGTGTACCTGCGTTCCTGTTAATAGAATTTCTCACTGGCACATCTTTTAAGGAATTTTCAGCAAGTTAGCTTTTGAAATTACTTGATTACTCATCAGTTTGGGCTCTGAGTTCTTAAGAAAGAATTTTATTGAGATATAATTCACATACCATACATATAATACATGCACTATACAATTCACCCATCGAAAGTGTTCTACTTGGTGGTATATTACTAATTTTTAAAGAGTATGGTAAAATATATGTCACAATTTGCCAGTCTTCTTCATTTTTAAGTATACAGTTCCATAGAATTAACTACATTCACCATGTTGCACAACCATCACTACTTCTAATTCCAAAACTTTTTTGTCACCCCAGACAAGCTCTGTGACCTTCATGGGCTCTGGTTTGCTGGCCGTCAGTGGGCATACTTGTATTAATCAGCTCGGGCCGCCCTAATGGAACACCACAGATTGGGGGCACACACAATAGGCACTCTGTGCTCACAGTCCTGGAGGCTGGAAGTCCAAGATCCAGGGGCCAACACGTTTTTTTCTGAGGCCTCGTCTCCTGGCTTCTAAGAGCCACCATCGCTGTGTGCACACGGGGCCCCTTTGTGTCCTTGAAGAGAGTGGTCTGGTCTCTGTTCCTCTCACAAGGACACCAGCCCTTTCAGATTAGGGCCTCACCCTCATGACCTCATTTAACCTTACTTACCTCTTAAAAGGCTGTGTCTCCAAATACTGTCACTTTGGGGGTTAGGGTTTCCATGTAAGAATTTGGGGCAGGGGCTCAAGTTAATACAAAGCACTTAGGAATTATTTTGAAGTGAGAAAAACCTAAGAAATTTTCAAATGAAATGCTTTTTTAATTTAACAATGAAGCTGAGGGAGTGTTATGTACTGGAGAAGTTTAGTTTAAAATATTCAGTTTCAAGATGTCATTTTTATCATCTTCTGAAGTCTTCCTTCTGTACTTTCTCCCCACCACTTCCCCCACCATTCCCCCATGGGAGCCGATCCTGTAGATCTCTTCTGAGCTATTAGTGACATCACACTGACGGTTGAAATTGGCCATGATGGAAATACTTACTCCACAGAAATTGGCAAATACTATAGCATACTGCTGGCTAAGCTATATTACCCACCAAGTAAAAGCAGAAATGAGTCATTTAGAAAATAGTAGAGCTGATAGACGAATTCAAAAGCTGCTTTGCTGAAAAATAGTGATAAAATGCCTATCAGTCAAGGTCTAGCCAGAAAGACTGAACCCACGCTGAGTAATTCAGCTGCAGGAATTCAGTTTTGAGGCATCTGGAAGAGGATGCAGGGGAAGGTGGGGCCCATGAGAGAAGAAGAGCAGCAGGAAGTTACCCAGAGGAACAAAGGGATGGGATGGGGTGGGGTGTGACAAGAGCTGAGCAGTGGGGCCTCCCAGCTGGAAAGGGAGCACAGCAATCCTGCTGGCCAGGGCTGGGACCCTGGAGCAGGGGCTGGGACTGCAGAGGACACAGTTGGAGACTGCAGAAGTCCAGAAACAGACAAAGTCCCCTGGCTTGCCAGCAGGGGAGCCCAGGAGGCACAGTGAGCCGGAGTCTGCACCTGCAGTACCAAGCAGAAGGGACAGAACCACGACAGATCTGAGAACAGACTGATAGGCACCACATCTAAACCTCTACAAATTAAGCGAGAAAAAGGAAAAAAAAAATGAAGATTATAAGAGAAAAATATGTAAAATTACATGTTAATTTGAAAGGCTCAAGACATTTAATTTTCTTAAAAACTGTTATTTGTAAACTACTTTTTAGTAGAAAATCTGAGTTCTCCAATACTTAAGAAAGAAAAACCTGAAGGAGGAGCACCAAAAAGGATGTTGGGGGTGGGGCAATTTTGTGGGTACACTTTTTTTCAAACTTTTAAAGAACAGCAATTCCCATGCTAGAGACATTTTCTTTCTGGTTTTGTTGTTGTTTTTAAGGTTTTACTTATTTGAGAAAGAAAGCACCAGTAGGGAGAGGGGCAGATGGAGAGGGAAACTCAGACTCCCCACTGAGTGCAGAGCTTGATGTAAGGCTCTATCCCAGGACCCTGAGCCAAAGTCAAAGGCTTAACTAAGTCACCCAGGTGTCCCAACTAGAGCCATTTTCATTTAAAAAAAAAATCTGGGAAACTAGTCAATTCCTAATATAATACCAAAATGTGGCCCAGAAACTGTGTGCTCATAGACACACACACACACACGCTCACTCAAACTCAGTTACTAATTCAAGACAGTGGGCCTCAACACCATCAGCCCCAACATGCCTTCTGTGAACACCCTTTACTATCCTGAAACAAAATTTTACAGGGAAAATGGATTTCTTACAAACAATTTCAAAACCAGTATAAATACAAAAGAGTATGTATTTCCATACATGAAAGTTCACACTTATCCATAGGGATGTAATCAGATGCTTGTGCTGTGTGCTGTATTTGTGACACACACCAGAGTGTTGATGACACGGTTTTTCTGAACGGGTGAGGGGTGCCTGCCTGGCGCGGTTGGTAGAGCGTGTGACTGGATCTTGGGGTCATGAGTTTGAGCCCCATGTCAGGGTAGAGTTTACTTAAATGCATTAAAAAAAAAAAACACTTTGGAACATTCTGAACAAAAGAATGTACAATTTCCCCTAGTTTATAGTAGCCAAGTTTCTGGGAAATTTGTGTATATTAACACTGTCCTCATATAGGGGTGCCTGGGTGGCTCAGTGGGTTAAAGCCTCTGCCTTCGGCTCAGGTCATGATCCCAGGGTGCTGGGATCGAGCCCGCATCAGGCTCTCTGCTCAGCGGGGAGCCTGCTTCCTCCTCCCTCTCTCTGCCTGCCTCTCTGCCGACTTGTGATCTCTGTCTGGCAAATAAATAAATAAAATCTTTAAAAAAAAAACTGTCCTCATATAGATATAAAAAGGTAGATTGTAGGCCCATATAACTGTAAAAATTTTTCTCAATCAGCGGTTCTCAAACTCCCACATGCGTCAGGATCACCCAGAGGACTGGTGAGAACAGACTTCTGAGCAAGCAGCTGGAAAGGGAAGGTGGATGGAGGACGGGGAGCCAGGACCAGCTGGGACGGGTCAGCAGTTCTCGCTGTCCGCAGTCCTGGTGTCGCGGGTCTCCTGCAGGAGCTGCTAGCAGCCTTTGCCACGGGACGGAACACACCTGTGGCCGAGGAGCGGCAGCAGCTGAAGAGCTTATGGGAAGACAGAACCGCTGCATGCGGACAGGCGCCAGCGGGAACTACAAATGCACCTGCCCCAGGACCCAAGCGTCAAAAAAAAAAAAAAAGGCTTCCCCTTCACTTCCTCCAGATCTCACCCCGGAACGAGTCTTGTGGCTCACTCTACCTGGAAACGCACAGGGGAATGACTTTGGGGGAATGTGGCCAAGTCACCGCATTAGAAAACCACCTCACATTTGAGGTGCAGCTCGAGAGCTTGCATCTGGAGAAAGCTCCCAGGTGCTCCTGGGGCTGCGAGCACGTGACCCGGCCCGAGCGGCCCCGTCCTCCGCGCAGGCGCAGTAGCGCTGGTCGTGCAGCGCGGGCTCCACAATCGCGTTCAGGCGGTGTGGCCCCTGTCACCACACGCCAGCCGTGCTTCCAGTGTGGGCAACAGCTACAAATCTTCACCTCCAGTTTCCAGAAGGCCCCTTTGGGAACCTACACAGTGCCCGGGGAACGCCCGGGGTTCCCTCAGCTCCTCCAGGAAGAAGCCCCAGAGAACCCCGAGAGGGACCCGAGGACCGTCCGCGACGCACATCGCCCTGAGCACAGGGTCCGCTCTAGTCCAGCTCTGAGCAAAGACGGTGGAGACTCAGCACGGAAGGGGGAGAGTGTTCAGGAACTGTTCCGGCCTCATGGAGATTCACAATACAAGAGCGAGATTTGGAGAGATTAAAAAGGAGGAAGCAAGAAATACGAAGAGCCAAGGAGCGAAGGTGAGTAACGCGGTTGCGGGCAGCCGTCGCGCGTGTGAGCGCTCGGAAGCGTGTGTTCCGGAACACAAACTGTTCTGGCCGCAGGAGGAGGCCCGTCCCCGGGTGTAAGGGGTGTTCTCAAAGGCTGCGGCCGGGGGTGGGGGTGGGGGGACTCAGTCGCAGCCGGTTCTCGGGCGCCGCCTCCCACTCCCTCCTCCTCCGGCCTAGTGGGTCCGCCAGTGCCCTCGGGGGCGGACGTGTGACCCAGGGGCCCAGATCCGTTCTGCACTTCTCTCCTGAGCGTCCGACAGGGAGAGCAGGGTCAGTGCCGAGGTCAGCCCCACGGGTGTGAGGCTGGGCTTCTGGGGAGCGGGGGCAAGGGTCTGGAAGGAGCCCTGGCACCGAGCGCAGGTGCGGAGGAAACCTGCAGCCCGAGACACGTGGGCAGCAAGGCAGAGTGAAGTTTGCGGGAATGAAGGAAACGCGAACGGTCCCGCCATGTGATGGCTGTGACTGTTTGTTGCCAGCGGGTGCAGGCACTGGGGTGACGGAGGGAAGCGGGTGTGGCACGGCGGTGGCAGAAGGAGGGGCGGCTGGAGGTTCTGGTTCTCTGGGCCAGCTCTTCTCCAGCATCGTCCTGGTGGCTGCCGGGCAAGAGGTCAGAGGGGTACAACCTGGCCCCACGGTGGGGGAGCTGAGGGAACCACTGGCTGGGGGAAGGGGGTTCTGTGATCTGGGAGCACAGAGAGCTGAGACCCAGCGTGAGCAGGAGAGGGGCTATTTGAGCTGTGTCCTTCCCT